GCTGAGCCCCTGTACAAATGAAAAATTAGTTAACATTTCCAACATTCAGTACTGCAATATAGACATTTCCACCAAAAGTTACAAATAGGGGACACAAAGGATTGGGGCCTGTGGTGGATAACTGGTGGTCAACTTGTAATACCAACTGAACTGAATCAGCATGGTCTTGAGTGTAGATGGCCCACCTGAGGATTGTTGCCAAGATAAAAAAGGAGAACGGAAGAGGGAAAGTTTAGTGTTAGTGGTTCTCCTGTTGCTGTTGGTTCTCCTGGAGGAACTTGGCAAGCTTCTTTCCTGATATGAAATCTTGGACATTCTTATTGTCAGGGGAACTCAGGACCTTTTGTCACTGAGAATGGCTGTGGTTCACTTTGTGGGAGTTCTGGTCTTTACCTCTTCCTGGCTTCAGAGGGGAAGATGGTGTACTGCTCAGTCTCCAGGAGAAGCTTGTCATACTGGCTTCCTGATATGAACTTGGCTGTTCCCATTATCAGAGGAGTTTGGGACCTCTTGTCACTGATGATGGCTATGGTACTTTGCGGGGGGGGGGGCGCCATGGTCCTTATTTTGAGCGTCACTTCTTGACTCCAGGGCAAAATCTTTGACTGCAGGGCAAAAATCTGCTGGCACAGATCCTTCATCCACTGGCACTGACTTTCTAGTTTCTATCACTGATCTTTGGGCCTTCCCAGAACAGATTTGTGAAAGAGACATGTGTGAGATATTATCATGGACTCTAGGTCTTCAGCTGGATTCATGTAGACTGTTGCCACAGGATCCAGGGCATCAGCTGGATTCTTTGGTCTTTGTGTGTGGACAGATTTCCTGCACTCCTTTTTATTTGACTCTGGGTGGATATTATAAATAATATTATAAATTATGTGTCCTGTATTGTCTTGTTCCCCTTGCAATCCTTGACTACAACAGGACCTAAGCAAGTCCAAAATCCAGCAGGGCAAATGTTAAATCCTATAGTTCTATGTGCAGCTTCCAATTCAACCGATGGCAAGTTGTGAGCTCCAAAGGGCTTTTGTAGTTCCACTGTATGGCACTTCCCATGGTTGTAACTCCCAAGGCTTTTTTCTTGGATTTACTTTGCTCCCTTCTTGAAGATTTCCTCATAAAATCCACATTCCTGGCTTCTCCAAACTTGTTTGGTCTCCACTGCACGTTTGGCTTCACATTCACAGCTTCACATACTGCCCTCTTAGTGGCATACTGCCTTCTGAAATCTGGGTGGAAGCCTTCTCAACCTCGTAACTCTTGCTTTCAGCACGTGCCTAAAACCAGCACCACGTGTATGCCAATGTTTGTTATCAGCTGGAGCAGTCGCCAGGCTTTCCTTTCTCTTGGCTATAGGGGTTGAGTGCCTGGATCACTGAGCACTCTGAATCCAATTCTGAGGAACAATTTCTCTAGGTCACCACCACTCTGGCACGGCATAGAGGCCACCATTCTGGAACATGGTGCTCTCAAAGCAAAGTCTTTCACTTTTACAGTTTTGAGCCTGCAACGGGTAGCAACTTCCCACTTCTTATGATGCCTTCATGGTATCTTTTGTATTCTCCTGTTCCTTCTCAGCAATGAAAATCTCCTTTGCTCTATCTTGCAGCCCACAGCTTCTCTTCTGGCCAAATTCATAACATTTTAAATCATCCTGCTGAGCTCTTTACTCTTGATTTGCAACATTAATCTGGCTAAAAGCCCCCAACAATAGCCATGCCACCACCTCAAATCTGACTGCCTTGAAATTTTTTCTACAAGATTAGTTAGTCTGTCACCCTTAAGTGCAGTCTCGGGCAAAGTCTCTGGACATGATTTTGCCAAACCATAACACAATCATTTGGAGTCCAACAATCAATGCAGTCCTACTTTCCAGCAGTAATCTCCCAAGCCTGGTCTTTACCAGCAGGATTTCTATCAGCCTTCTGGTCTTCTGAGCTCTGACCAGAATCTCCCATACAGAACAGCCTAAGGCATTCCAGCACTATTCTTTTAAGCAATATCTCTGAACCTTTCCAAATTCTTCCTAAAACCCACTCCCAAAGGCTCTTGAATCACATGTTCAGGTATAGTCACAGCAATGACCCACTTCTCTGGTACCAAATTCTATCTTGATTAATTTTCTCTCATTGCTGAGACAAAGTACCAGACATGTAAAATTACAGAAGGAAAGGTTTATTTAACTAACAGTTTGTGGAGGTTTTAGGCCATGATAACCTGGCTCCAATGCAAGATGGCATGGCACAGAGCAACACTTCAAGGCAACAGAAGACAGAAAAAGCAGCAAGAGCAAAAGGAGAAAAAGGGAAGAGCAAGCCTCTTTTCCTCCCTTAGTTTGTATGCAGTTTACCTGCCCCAAGGCAAGTGCAGCACTTAAACTGCCAATTCTAGCACTAGACAATGAACTAATCACAAACTCTAGATCCAGCCACCTCCAAAAAGCCCACACTCCATGACCACATGAGACTTTGACGGACTTCCAGACACAAACTGTAATAGAGTTAGAGCCTGGTTGGAGTTAAGTCACTGGGGATGTGACCTAGAAGGTGTATTCTTGTTTCAGGACCCCCTTCTCTCTCTATTTCCTGGCTGCCATGGGATGAGCAGCTGTCCTCACCAGGCCCTTTCATCATGCTGTTTCTGTGTGGGAGTCAGCTAACTTTGGACTGAACTCACTGGAAATAGTCAAATAAACCTCTCCTCCTTTACACTATAGGTATTGTGTATTTTATTCCAGTGATAGAGAAATGACTAATACAATTGGCAACCAGGAAAACACAAATCTTTTAGGGAAGTAGGATTCCACAAGGCTAGGGATGTTGCTCAGTGGTAAAGCACTTGCCTATTATTATGTGTGAAGCCTTGGGTACAGTCTTAGCACTGCAAGAAAAGGAAAAAAAGTGGGAAATCTACAAAGCAAATTACTATTGGCCTTATAATCACCTACATCTTTGGCAAGTTGTTCAAATCTGATCAGCCTCCAGCCCCACTCTAAACCTGAGTCAGAACCTCTAAAGAGAAAGTACAGCCCTCTGGTTGAGTGTTTTTGTTCTTACAGATATCCTCACATGATTCTAATACATGACCATGGATGAAAGGCACAAATCCACAGATTTCCTGATCTCTAGGGATCCCACCCCACGTCATTTCTGGTGTCCATCATGCTCTCATATGATGGCTTCTGCTTTGTGGAAAGTTTTATCTACACAAAACTCACATCAAACCCTATTCATGACCTTCCCACTATGGCGTGATCCAGGCACACCATGGCCAGCAGCCCCAGCAAGAAAAATTCCAGTTTTCTGTCTTCTAACAATAATAAGAATCAAACAGCTGAGGCAGCTCCAGGGTCCTTCTTTTGCCCATAATCTTGACAATAAGGAACAAACTCTTCTATTTTTAGCTGATACATTATAGATACAAGGAGTTTAATTCTGGGGTTCCTCTAGATACCACAAAGCAATCAGTTCTGAATCTTCACTCTGTGAGTCACCTGGAAAATTTTTACAAAACAGGTTGACTGGGTCCCAGATTCCAACCCACAGATTCAGATTCCATGGTCTAGGGTGGGGCTGGGCACTCTATCTTTCAAAGTTTGCCCAAGCAATTCTGAGGAACAACCACAAATGAGAATCATACTTCCAAGCTAAAAGAAGAAAAACACCTCCAACTTATTGTCTTGTCGTAACTTGAAACAAGGATGCCTTCGTGAGGTGCCCCCCATGCTGCAATGCCTGGGGAGGTATCTTGGTCTGGCTCTGTTCATGACTCTGCAGAGAAAGAAGACCCCACCTGCTTCCCTCCCACGGTCAACCTTGGCAAGGACACCAACCTCACTGCTGCCTTTGACATTCAGGATCAGGAACAAAGCCCCAAATACCTAAACTGCTCTCTAAGCAGAGAACATGATGAGAGATCGCTTCAGTGGAGAACTGAGACAACCATCGCACAACTACTCTACCCAAAGGTTCCAAGCACTAGTAAGTTGTTGTTGTTAATTAAAAAGGATAAATTGTGCCACATTAGAACAAAATAGAAAAAGATGAAGTCAGCCAATTCAAAAAAAAAAAAAACAGTACACATAGCTATGCTCCCCCAACCTATATCCCTGGAATAAGCATCTCTTCTGCCTTTTCAACTTCCTTAAAATGGATTTCTTGTTACTTGCTAAGAAAAGAAACCTTGAATAAACTAAAGGCCCACATCAACAGCCAGACATTTCCAGGAATTTCTGTTCCCCCCAAATTTTTGTTTTTAAAGACTTTTTCCAGGTTGGGCATGGTAGCACATGCCTGTAATCCCAGCACTCAGGAGGCTGGGGCAGGAGGCTGAGGCTGTATGAAGGATTGCTCCAAGGTTGAGGCCAGCCTGAACTACAAAGTAAGTTCAAGGCCAGCCTGAAATGCATAGTGAAACTCTGTCTCAAAAACAAAAACAGTCTTTTTCCTTTATTGTTTCTAAAAATTCGTATGTATATAATGTAAATATGTGTACAGTTTGCTGAGGCAACTGATTTTAAAAACAAACAAGAAAATCGCCAGAATCTGAGATCAGCAAAAAGAACGTTCTCTAGAAAATTTGCCCTCGGCTGGGGATTTAGCTCAGTGGCATAAGCGCCTGCCTGGCAAGCACGAGGTCGTGAGTTCAATCCCCAGTACCGGAAAAAAAAAGAGAGAAAAAGAAAATTTGCCCCTACACGTTCCTCTAGACAGTGGACACCCTCATCTGGGGCAGCTTGGGACAAGGAGGAGAGCCTTCGAGCTGACTCTCAGGTGTGCAGCCCCGGGGGAACCACTGCTCTGCTGTTCCAGCTTGGGTCGCATTAAAACACCTAGCTCAAAGAATAGGTGCCAATGTAATGGAACAAATCAATAATGTGCATCTCTAGAGATTTCACCACAGAAACCAAGAAACTGAGTCACTCTAACAAGGCCTGGCTAGACCCTCTCCTCCCGGCCACAGCATTAGTACAAGGCTCAAAAGGACAAAGTACAGACCTCTGGCTGGATGGCTTTAAACACAGGGATGTCCATTAGTGTGATCTGGCTCTGCAACAAAAAGAGATGAAATTAGGAAATCCTGGACATCAGAGAGAGCTGCCATGCTACTTCAGGTCTACACAGAATAATATACATTCATAAAGGTTGTGCTTCCCCCTGTAAAATTTTTTCGAAAAGTAAAAAAGAAAGTATTTCTTGTTAAATTTAAATAATTTTTAACTAATACAGAGAAATATTAAAACATTCACATGTTTATGGAGTACCATGTAATGGCTTCATACATGTAAACACTGTGTAATATTTAAGATATTTTAATGTTGAGAAGACAAGTGTTTAACCTGAAACATACTTATCTTCTCAAACATTTATCATTTCTTTATGGCAAAAACATTCAAAATTCTTCCTTGTTTTTTGATATATATAGTACATAATTGTTGCTATAATCACCTACTGTGCCACAGCACCCCAGAACTTTTTCTCCTGTCTAACTTAAGACGGTACCCAGTAGTCAATCTTCCTCCCCCCCCCCTACACCTGCTGTAGTTCTCCCCCAGCTTCTGGTAACCGTGATCTACTCTCAACTTTTATGAGATTTTTTTATATCCCATGCATGAGTGAGATTAAGTAACATATATCTTTCTACACCTCGCTTATTTCTCTTAGCATAATGACCTTCGTTCCACCTATGTTGTTGCCTATGACAGGACCTCCTCCTTTTTTATGGACAAATCTTACTCCACTGTGTATGTGTCACATCTACTTTACCCATCAATGGTTGAGAGACATTTGATCCTTTCCATTTCTTGGCTATTGTGAATAGTGCTACACTGAATATGAAAGCACAGAGTTCATTTCCTTCATATATATATATACAGTAGCAGGCTTGCTTGATCACACAATAGCTCCATTTGTAATTCCATACTATTCTATATAATAGTTGTGCTAATTTATAGCATGCTATATATTAGATATAGCATCATTTGTTCACATCCTCAGGAGTACTTGTTCTCAAGTTTTTGGTGATAGCCATTCTTCTTGGAGTAAGACAATATCTTCCTGTCATTTTGATTTTTATTTCCCTGAAGATTAGTGGCACTGGACATTTTTTGATGTACCTGTTGGCCATCTGTATGTCTTTTTTTTTTTTTTTTTGTGCCAGGGATCAAACTCATGACCTCATACTTGCCAGGCAGGCACTTGTGCTGCTGAGCTAAATCCCCAGCCCCTTGTATGTCTTCTTTTGGGAAATATGGTCTATTGCCCATTTTATCAATTGAGGAATTTTTTGTTTTTTGTCTGGAGATCCTTAACTCCTTTGTTAGGTGTGCAGCTTGTAAATATTTTCTCTCTCTGTAGGTTGTTTCTTGACTCAGATGATTGTTTTATTTGCTATGCAGAATCTTTTAGTTGATGTAATCCCCTTTGTCTATTTTGGTTTTCAGGGTCCTGTCCAAAAAAATCCTTACTACCATTCCAATGTCCTGAAAACACATTTCCCCTGTGTTTTCTTCTAGTGGTTTCATACTTTCAGGTCTTACATTTGTCTTTAATCTATTCTGTTGGGTTTTGTAACTCGTGAGAGATAGGGGTGAATTTCTGATACTTTCCCACCCTACTTTCTCTTCATAAATCTTGATCCACACCCTTCTTTCTTGAATGTCAGACACAGTTTCAACTTAAGAATTGATAATAGTTATTTGGAGGGTGGGACTGGGAGTAAGGGGAACATTTTTAGTTGGAAATTTTTGTATTATTTGGTTGTTTCAAGCATGAATTACTTATGTAGTTTTAAAAAGTTGTAGATACAATATTAAAAATTAGAATGCTAACCAGAAACACTATCTATTACTCTAAACTTAAGATTATTTTAAAATTGTGGCTTATGGAAATTATATTTTTCTTTTGAAGTCCATGCCTCTCCTAAATTATACAGTAGAGTGCTATTCAAGATGCATCCAGAGACCAATCTGGGGCCACAAACTGTTTATTCTGACAGCCCACAATGAGATCAGTACAGAAGCTGAGAGCAAGCACTGGGAAACCTTTATACCAATTTGCTATGGCCACAACATTTCTATTATATTTGTTTTAAGCATCAGTCCTCAACAGATTGGAAATGAAAGAACTCGTCCTTTCCCACAGCCAACTTAAAAGGCACTAATGTCAATAACACAGAAAACACATATCAGGTTAAAAGGCTGTGCCCAGAATTAGAAGCTCCTCTAGGACCATAAGAGAAGGTTATCACTGCTGACAGTGCTGCTGCTAACGCACAGACTGATCTGACTTCACATGACCCACCTACTTCCACACGTTGCATGGGAGACTAGATGTCGGTTATAGATGCCTCTGTGACAGGTGAGGAAAATGAGGTCTAAGGGCTTTGGGATGCCTGTTAATCTAATAAGACTGTGGCCACTGAACACAAGGCCACCTAGGGTAATCTGACACCATGAAACACACTGAGGCTCTGTAACCTTAAAATTAATAAGTTTGACCTTAGACAAGTGTAGAATAATAAATAGAATCTCTGGTTATCACTCAATAGCAACATTCTCTGACATGTGCCTTCTCCTGATGTCAACAGACACATCTAGAAAATGGTGACAGGAAAATAAATATACTATATATATCAAACAGAATGTGAGTTATGGCTCCTGACCAGTACAGACACTAGGAAATAAGGGATCATTGATCTGGTTGACCATTCAGGCACTGGGTGGCTCTAGAGTAAGTTGAAAGGAGGCTGTTACATTGAGTCTGTAGAAAGCCTCATGTCAAAAATACACTGGAGGAAAAAAATTGGAGAAAAATGCCAATACATGTAGTATGTCACTTGCCATCACAAACCATAGCTTAAGTGCACAGTTGTGGTCAGCTCTTAGCACAGTTCAAAGATGGTCCAAGGTCACTGAGATGCTGAGAATCACAGAATATAGACCAAGGAAAACTACTCCAGAGCTGAAGGTGGGGGACAGATGGCTTGAGGAGAGGGCTTCTTTGCCCCATTCCAAGGGCCACTGCTCCTCATGGGCATAGGGGTAAAATGCTGTCACTAACAGAAGCTTAAGAGACAGAAAGAAGATGCCACTAGGAATGAGAAAGTCCTTGAGGGAACCTGAGCCCTTCTACCCGCAGGTCCCCTCAATGTAAGGGAGTATCTGACATTACCACACCCTAGGTATGGCCCACATGCTCTTGGCCTCAAGTGACCAATAAGTTGAAGGCCTAGTGGTTCGTGTCTGGCCCAGGCTGCAGGTCCAGAGCTACATCCTGGGCAGTGCAAACAGACTAGCATTTCTCCTGCCAGACCCAGGGAGACTGTTAGCCAAGTGCTCCTTGGATTTGGATTAATCGTGCCATACTGGGGAACAGAAAGACCTTGTGAAAACAGGAGATCTGAGCTGAAAGCTCTGAGGGCCTTGGAAATCTCTCCTGAAGTTCAAGCTAGTTCCCTACCCGGGAGATCCGGCAGGATGTTTGCAATGTCATTTAGGAAAAGAACCAAAGGTCTGCTAATATGAAAATGAGAAAACTTCCTTTCCACCCTGCCATCAGTTCTAGAGTTTGCTACTGAATTTCCAAATGATTATTAAAATGATGACTTTACATTTCATGCTTTTTTGGATAGACCAAGTTTCAAATATCCAGATCATTGCTCAGATAGTAAATCGGAAAATGCATGCATTCTATTCAAAACATACAATGACAGAAGTCACCAGAATGCAAACAGACTGGCAGACACAAGGTGAGGGTTTTCGTGAGACTCTGCTCTTTTTATCCTCTCCACTCTGACCAACAAAGGGTACAATGTCCAGGGAGAAATTATAAAATACTGAGCTAAAAAAAATCACCAGATTATGAGCTTCGTGCCATTTTACTACAAAACATAACTTAATGTGAAAAAGTTGCTGACAGAAATCCTTCCCCAGAGGCACGAGCACTCTCCAAGGGGGTGGTGAGGATGGCAGTGTGAACCAGAGGGACAGGGCCAGCTGTTGGACCACTGAGACCCTGCACCCCACACACACACTCAGGAGAGGCATTGGCTTCCTTCCAGGAGACAAGGGCATCCCCAGGGTGGTTGTTACCGCCTCCACAGAAACTTGAGACACAGAGGCTCCCACACTAGTTTCCAAACAGTGAGTCTGCCCAGCAGTGGGGCTGAAGGAGAGCTCATTAATAAATCCTTTAATGGCTTATCTTTATTTGGGAAAATTAACGCAGGATGTCCAGGCAAGCTGCTCACCTGAACATACCTCCTATAACCCTACTCTCTTCTTGACCAGGAACCCTAAAAGCCCAGGCTTGCAAGGGAAATGGCCAGTCTTCACATATTACAAAATATTGTATTTCTGTGGAGATGAACACTACAGACTGGAGATATCTACAAGAGCACTTCACAACATGGCCCCTAAGGAAGAAAGTGGTATTATAGGAATAAATGAAAGCTGGTTAGCCAAAACAAAAATTGTTTTATATAAATATGTATATATATATGTACATATTGTCCCTCAGGTTCGCACCCCCATCCCCACCACCCCCTTGGAGAGTGCTCATGCCTCTGGGGAAAGATTTCTGTCAGCAACTTTTTCACATTAAGTTTGGTTTTACAGTAAAATGGCACTGTAAAATTGTTTTATAGATAGATAGATAGATAGATAGATAGATAGATAGATAGATATGCGCACACTGAATGTAGTATTTCTCCCTTCTAACAGCAGGGGACTAAATTATCTCTTCCTAACCATGGTAATAGTGTAAGGTCTTCCAAAATGCCAAATAAACAAATTTTAAAAAATGTTCTCTTGTCAGTGTGAAAACTGTTCTCATGTGTACTTCATACTAAAAGATACTTTAAAATTTACATTTAGATCACTACCAATTCAGGACCAGGATTGCTCAAAGAGAAAAAAGTATTCAGCTCTGACAATGCATTTCTCAGATTATACATATACTCCAAAGCTTCAGGAAGGACACATCTGGCAAGTCCAGAATCACAGCAGAACTCAAACACAGGTTACACAGGAAGACACCACAGGTCAACC